CATATGCTGAAATTATTCTTCCTTTGTAAGACAAATCACTTTTCTACAAATATCCAAGATAATACTGTTTCCTCAAGGATATGACCCTTACAAAAGCCATATGTTTCTTAATGCCCTCCTAATAATTGCCTAAGTCTTGCTCTTGGTTTAGGGACCTCCATATTCTGTACCTTGAGTGTGGCCTTATTCCGCAACCTGGAAGTTCTTACCAGTAATGCTAAACATATTTGTCAAAGAGAAATTAATTTTCACTTCTTCCAGCCAAGCAAGAAGGAACCAGGATTAGGATAAACCTAAAACCCTGGACTATTCATGATCTATTGCAAAACAATGACTCCCAAGTAAGATTCAAATCAACATCATATCACTGAGTTTGGAAACATAGAGAGGAAGAGAGAAGACAGAGATCAAAAGTTCCACTAGAAATGTAAGAATGCCAGAAAGTCCTGATACTTTATGGATCATGAAGGACCCTATGAAAAAGGCAGTGTCTTCATTCAAGTCCCTACCTTCTATTTCCAATGGATCCTTATAATGTCACAACAATAATCAGAGCGTCTTGTCAACCAGAAAGAATTTGGAGACCCAGAAAAAGTGTTATCACCCTTTAATATATTTCATTGCTCTCAGAAATTAGACCTCTCACACAGTGCTCCTTCAGTCATTCTGACAGAGTGCACAATTCAAATATCAATTTTCATTGGGGGAATGAGGGAGAATGATAGAAGGCCTCACATGATTTATTGAACTCATGAACTGATTTAGAGAATGATACCTTCTTATGCAAATACTTAAAATAATATAAACATAATTTACAAGGTATCAATTGTTTTCATCATCATTACCCTGTGGCAACAAAAGTTTCAAACTAAAAAGTTCAAGCCTAAATTTCATAGACTCTGTGTGTTTCTTTTCTTTATATTTTTTGTAATGTGAGAATACCGTACAGAGGAGTTACAATTACATGGGCAAGATAATGAGTACCTTTCTTATCAAGCATTGTTGCCTCCTCTTTCTTTCCCTTTCCCATCCCTTCCCATACTCCCGCCCCACCTGAACCTCCCCCCACCCCCCACCAAAGTTGTAAAGTTCATTTTTAGTCATAACAATTTGCACATCTCATTGTTGCAATGGGTACAACTGTATCCCTAGTTAAGAGATTTGTTTTTTTCCTTCCCATCCACAAATTATACCAAGATCAAATACAGTGAAAGCATGGGTTATACTGTGGGTGAGGGACATACAAAGCAACATAGAAATCATCTTATAAATATGTTAGAAACAATTGCCTGAAAGGAAAAGTAACATTTGAATGCTTATCTTGGGGTTCATTCCCCTAACATCAACTTATCTGACCTTTATCTGCTTGACTCAGATATATACTAATTATTGCAGATAAGGGTAACCATGGGACCTATGTTTATTTGGGCCTGGCTTACTTCACTTAATATAATTTTTTCCAAATCTTTCCATTTCCTAACAAATGGGGCAATGTCATTCTTTCTGATGGAGGCATAGAATTCCATTGTGTATATATACCACATTTTCTTGATCCATTCATCTACTGAGGGGCATCTGGGTTGGTTCCATATGTTAACTATGGTAAATGCTGCAATAAACATAGTCGTGCAGGTAGATTTAGTGTGGTCTTGTTTGTGATCATTTGGGTAAATGCCCAAAAGTGGGATTGCTGGGTCATAGGGGAGCTCTATGTGGAGTCTTTTGAGGAACCTCCATACTGCTTTTCAAAGTGGTTGAACAAGTTTACACTTCCACCAACAATGCAGTAAGAACTCTAAGAATAGATGCAGGAGAGGATGTGGACTCTGTGTGTTTCTTCATTGGATCTATCCTGTTCATAGTATAGATCACAGCAGTAGTCCATTTCCCCAGGTCCACAGTGGGGCCAGCCCGGCTGCAGGGAAAGAGAGCTCTGTTGCTCCTCTATTCTTGTTTCACTTCAGGTTTGAAAGTCTGCAAAACTGCCCACTTCTGGCAGGACCATTGGATAGTATGTTGATTAGCAACAAAATGTTTAGGTGATGTTCTTGGAGTAAACTGGTTTCCCTCGCTCCTGTGTGGAGTGGCTACTCTTGCTGATAGTTGTAAATATGGATAACAGGCAGAAAAGTGCACATTCTGGAATATCAAAGTATACAATCTTAGAAACTGTTATGGAGTAGATTCCTGCAAAGCTTCAAGAAACAGATCCAACAAGACCACTGCTCATTAAGCCTGTGGAAGGGTCCTCAACATCTGTGGTTTCAGTTTCAGGCAACTCCCTAGGGAAGAAGGATATTCCTGTAACTCAGAAGGATTACAGCTCTGCAGCAGTACAGAGACCAGGACTCTTGGCCTGCAGCCTTTCCTGTATGAACTATATCACCATTTGTATTTCTTGAAGATTCATCCATTCTGTTATCTCAAAACAATTTGATCTTGGATATAGATACAATGCACATTTTCCCATATACAAATTCACATTTTGGGGGCTGGGAAGGTGGCTCATGGTAGAGGGCTTGCCTTGCATGCCTGAGGCCCTGGGTTCGATTCCTCAGCACTACATAAGCAAAAAGAAAAAAAAAAGCTGGAAGTGGCGCTGTGGCTCAAGTGGTAGAGAGCTAGCCTTGAGCTGAAAAGTTGAGGGACAGTGTCCAAGCCCAGAGTTCAGGCCACACGACCGGACCCAAAAAAAAAATTCACATTTTGTGAAACATCAGGAGAAATACATGACTACAAAATACATTGCAAACATATACTTTACAAACAAAAATTACTTATCTCAATTCAGATGATGGGGAAACCCAAACCCACTTGGTTGTTCTCCTTCAGAAGTCTCAAGTGTAATCCCAGGACTAAATTATAATGATGAATCCAAAGTAGTATTTCATTTATAGACTTTTAAAGAAAATAATAATCTTGTTATTTGCAATAACTACTATAAGTTTAGGAAAAAGCAGAAAAGGTCAAAAGCCATGAACATATGACCATATAAAATGATATTAAGTAAAATAAACCCCAAGATAGGGACACAAATGTTTAAATAGGGATACAGGTTGACTCATTGTTACAATAAGATGTACAGGACACTATGTTGAATATGAATTTTACAACTTGGCCAGGGGGAGGGGTAAGTGATAGGGGAGGGGGAAGTTGGGGAGGGGTGGGAGAGATTAGTTGAGGACTTGGGGAAGGAAGGGATGGTAGGGAAAAATAAAGGAGGAGGCATCAATGCTCAATAGGAAATGTACTCATTACCTTACTCATGTAACTGTAACCCCTCTGTACAGTATTTTTACAATACAAAATGCATAAAAAATGATGACTACTGACAGATTACATATGAGACCCATGTTTTTCCTTACTAAATCTCCACAATCTAGGTTCCCCAGACTTTCCTTTAAGACCAGATCTGTAAATGTTTAACTACATGATTTACTACATTGTTACTTTGTTGCCTGTGGATAAATTAGAACAGAACAGAAAAAAAGTGGAATGATGTGATCCAATAGAGAAGGTAGAGCAGATTGGGAGATGAGACATCACTCCCATCTCCCTTTAAACTACCTTTCAACACTAGGCAAACTCAGTTTGTGGGAATGCAAGTTAGCATAG